GAATGATGTAGTTATATTTATAGATATTAGTAATATATTATTAAGCATCAAAAAAACCTGAAAACAAAAATATATCGGGATATCTGCGTTTTATTATGTAGTATACAAAAAAAAAAAATCCGAAAATACAGAAATAAAATTACAAAAACGTCTATTGCTACGTATTACATTAAGAAACAATAATCCTAATATTGTATGTTAATAAAAAAAGACATCCTATAATAAACATTTGTTAATTCTTTTTATTAAAAAAATAAGATAGATAATACATAAAACGCAGCTATATAGAATATAAAGTTAGATATATGAAGATATATGAATTTGTTATTTGGATATGAATAATAATAACTATATCTACAAATGTCATACACATATATTTGCCTTTCTTTTTTAAAACATACAATCTACACGATTAAAAACATAATATAATAAACCAGATAATTTACATTAAAACGTTTTCCTTGACCCCAAAAGTTTACCCGAAAGTCCATTATAATAACCTTTATAAATTGTTTTTTTTTTTTTTTTTTTTTTTTATCATCTCCATAATGAAATATTTAATAACTCTTTCATACTTTCTTGCAACATGGATCTCAAAACCTTTCCTTCTTTTTGTTCATTTTCTAACAACTTTTCAATTTTATCAACTCGTTCAGTTTCTTGACTCAATTCTTCTTCTTTAATCTCCAAATCAATCTTTAATGCAGCTACTTTACTTTCCAACTTTGTTTTCTCTTTTTTGCTTTTTCTCAATAAATTTTCTAATTCATTGGTCCTTTCATTTGCTGTCGTGATTGCATTGTTGATTTGTTCAAATATTGTATAATGTTGTTCAAGTGATTCATGTAATTGTGAAAATCGCATCTTTGAAGTTTCTGCATCTTGTTGATATTTTGTTATCTCACTACTAGCTTGCTTTAATTGTAAACTATTTTCATCAAGTTGTGTTTCAGTTGAAATTATACGAGATCTAAGATCCGCTAATTTTTTTGAAATTGGATTTTGAAGATTTTTGGTCATTGCACT